CAGGATGCTTAAATGGGGCATGGACTCTATAGACCCTTCAGGTAGAAGAAAGGAAATTGAAAAAGTTTGGAGCAAAGAAAGAAAACCACTCAGGACGTAACCTAAGAAGATAGAAAAATGAAATACAGAAGTCTCATCAGCTTTAATTAAAGGAAATCAATATTTGAAGAGTTGTCTTGCTCAGTAACAGAACAAGGGCAAAAATACTTCAGAAATGTGAGCCTCTTGGAAAAGAGAAAATTAGGCTTTCATAGGGAAGCAATCATGATTTAAAAGCCTTTCAAAAGTTGGCCACTTGGTGGATCTATTGTAAAGAGGACTCAAGCACCTGTTGGGGAAACAGACTAGATGAACTTTTATCCCTGGTAGAGTCCATGTGTTTTAAGTGCATTTCCTCAACTTGGGAGCTTTCAGGAGCCTAGAGTCATCCCTAGGGAGTAAAGAGTAGCCACCATTTCCCCCATTGAAACTTGAAACAACCTCTTAACAATAGCTTGGGTTTCAACTTGGTTATCACTTAACAAGAACACACATTGGAAAACATTAAGAGCTATACAAATACCATGGATTTATCATTATCATTCAGAGGCACCATCCAACCATCTACACAAGCTTGCTTGAGAATCCTATCTAAGCTCACCTGTCTTTGTGACCCACATGATGATCAATCACGAGTAACTAGAATCCAATTCCCCCAGACCATTTCTCTTCAGGGATGGAAGATACGTGACATGTGTGTCACCACTTCCTTCTCTTACACCAGTGCCAGACCTTGGTAATCAATGACAGCACTCCTTTCCACTGAGCCCAAATACAGCTTTTTCATTTATTTGTTCAACAGATATTTTTGAGCACTGACTTAAAAGCAAGTGGGAGAGACAGATAAACAACAAAATATAAGCAGCACTACAAGCACCACATACTAAGTGCCAAGTAAAAGATATGTAGACAGAGTATTATAGCCCAATCCTCTCTTCTGAAATACAATTTGAATGTCCTAGGGCTCTGAAAATTAACTTTTAAAATTTCAGTACTGTTGTTGATTGCAGCAGCATAACTATTTTTCATGGATGCGAGGCAAATTAATTCCAAAAGGAGCTTACAACGTACTATAGGAAACGCAGGAGTTTCTGTATGCCGCCCATCAAGAAAGTGAGTCAAGTGGGTTTGAAACCACTAGGTTCTTCTCCCACAAGTGCCTCCCTGACCTAAGAGAAAAATTCAGATTGGAGTGGATCTGATTGCCATTTTAGTTTAAGTACACTAGATGCCATTTCAGCATCAAATTATTCAGTCTGAGACACTTTGAAAATGCTGTTTTTCTACCTTAACACAGTATGCATAATACTGCAGGACTTTTTTTCACTTTTGTAGTGTTGAAGACATTTATGAATCTGGTGGGAAAAGGTTTACTTGATAGATGGAGATGGACAGCCACCAAGCAGACAGAAGGAGGTCTGGCACTCATTAACTTTTCCTATCAGAAACTCAACCTGGAATAGTTTTCACAAGCCTTTGATGAGGCTTAGTTGTGAGGCACTGGAGGAAGGAAAGACCTTATCCTCAGAAGAGGATAGCTACGCCGGTGGGGTGGAAGAAGCCTGGATTCATACCCTCTGGGATTTCAGGCCGCAGCCTATTTGAGATTATAACTCAAAGAGGAGATGAAAGTAAAGGGGTCTGACAAGTGGGTGAGACAGACAGATCAAAAGAATGACAACTGGGGTAGGTCTGTTTTAGATACATAGGTTAGGAGCTAGCTGTAGTTCAAGGCACCCCCCGCCCCACACCTCATATACCTCAAATTATCATCCGTATATTTTAGAAACAGGCAGGGCTTCTTCTTGTAAACCCTGGGATTGCTGGATGTTTCAGTGACCAGGGTTCTTGGCAGCATCTTAATTTTTGGGTCCTTGACCCATGTCTTTTCATATCTTTGAGGCTCCCCGACAGTCTGCAGATGGAGTATTTTCTCTCTCTCTCTCTTTTTTTTTTTTTCTCATGGGGCACTTTTGGAAAACTCAGAGTCTTTGATATCACTACTTTAGATCCTTCTAACTCATGGTTTGAGAACTACAGCAACTTCTCCAGGCTTATCTATCCAGCCTGGAACTTTGGGAAAGAACAATGACTTTTTCCAATAGTGTTCAGCCTACCTTTTTATATAACAGTCCTTAGTATATGTACAAAATAAAGCTCCTAGGATCCAAGCCTGCCCCAACTTGTTTTTGCCCTGTACCCTTTCAGATACATGTTGCTACTATTAATGGATCTATTATTTGCACTCAGCAAATATTTTGAATTATTTGATTACTTTCATCCCCGTCTTGGTGCCGTACCTTTCCTGTGTGATTTATCCATGAGAATGATTTTGTTTTTATTCCTTCAGATCTGCACTTGCAGGATTTGGCAGTAGGTCAGAGGGGTCTGTATTCCTATCTTTAAAAATTGCTGCTCCAGGGCCACTCCCCTCCAGAGCACCAGTTAATGATAATAAGGCTGCCACTGCCAGCTGACAGCTTTCCCTGATGTCCTGTGGTGCCCTGCATTGAGTTTAAACAGGGTCACTTATAATGCAGATTATAGAGGACCCTCACACCCAAGGCATAGACATGGGAGTTTAGCGGTGGGAATGGGTATTCTTTTATTCAAAACAATGTGGACGCCTGAGCTCAGTGACTCAGAAAGAGTTAAATGACCACCTACTCTGAACCCAGTAGTGTGCATGAGACACATAGGAAGAGTCCTTGTTTTGGAGTGCTTCCAGTCAATTTCTCACTGTCCACCCTGTGAGACGCTAGGAGAAGTAAAGCTCAGTGGCCAGTGACCAAGGTGTGGAAGGGAGGAAGTTGAGATGTATTTGTATTTTGCAACACATAACATGTTTTGTCCTTTTCATCAGGCTGCACAGGCCTTCTGGAAGAGACAATTTAGAATTCTTCTGAGTTAGTCTTTTGTCCAGTTGTTTAGTGTTATCATTTAGTTTCTGAGCTTGGTTCTGTATGAGGAAGGTAGCTGGTGTGGTCTCAGGTCCCAGGTCCCAGTTCCCTAAGGAGTTCTTTGCCAGGAAGTCATAATGAATAGGTAGGGGCAGCACCAGGTGAGCCACATTCCGGCCAGTCTGTGAGCAGCACAGCGACATGGTCCCTGCACTATTCAGGAATCCCAGCACTTGGTCCTAGCAGGCTTCTGCCACCTCCTCCATGATAGAATGTGTGCCCCCTCCCTCCCTGAGCCACTCACCCAGCAGCAGAATCAGAGCTTACCTGGGAGCTTTTCAAAAGAGCAGTTTTGGGGACCTCCTGGACACTGAATCCTAACTGCTGGGACTTTTCCAATCTGTTTGACTCTTCCTGATGAGCCTTTGTCTGTGTCCACAAACATCTTTATTACTTTTGCAATTACCAGGGACCCATAGTTATCTCTGTTCCAGTCACATCCATGTAGCCATTTGAAGGTGATGAGTGCAGGGTGGAGTATATTTTGAGTGCCCACTTAAAAGCTAGTTGGTGAGACAGATAAACAATAAAATAAATATAAGCAGCACTACAAGCACCACATGCTAAGTGCTGAGTAAAAGATATGTGGCCAACAAGTATTATAGCCCAACCTTCTCTTCTGAAATAAAATTTCACTTTCCTAGGACCCTGAAAATTAATTTTTAAAATTTCAGTACTGTTGTAATTGCAGCAGCAATTACTATTTTCCATGGATCTGAGATGAATTAATTCCAAAAATAGCTTACAAAGTACTATAGGAAACACAGGAGTTTCTGTATGTTGTCCATTAAGAAAGTGAGTCAAGTGAGTTTGAAACCACTAGGTTCTTCTCCACAAGTGCCTTTCCGACCTAAGAGAAAAACTCAGATTATAGTGGATCTGATTGCCACCCCACCCCACATGTAAATACAGCTACTTGCAGACACCTATTTCTGAGGCACTTAAAAGATTCATAAATATCTGGAAAGCTCTTTGACATTCTCAGAGACAATATTCTGTGCCATTCTAAGGTTCTATTATATACATGGAAAGCCTAGATACACATTTTTCTTTTTTATCTTCACTTTTTATAAAAGGTTATGCTAACGTAGATCTTCTTAACAAAAAAAAATATTTCTGATGAGATCAGGATAAATAATTCTACACATCATCAAGTGAAGAGAATGGCTTTGAATTGGTTTCCACGGAAATCTGAAGATGAAGTAAAGTAATAATTTCAAGGCGGAGCAGCTGAATTGAAGATAATGGTAAAATAGTTTGATAAAGGAAATAGAATAAAGTAATCAAGAAGACTCCAATCAATTATTCCTTTTTGTTTACCTTCAGGTGATTAATTTGTCTGCGTTTATTAACCTGATGAGATTAAGCAGACCGTCCTTGTGATTTATTTTGTAATTGTTTCCAAGGTTTGACATAAGCTGTGGAGTTATTGAAGGTGGAGATTTAAATTCAATTACTCATGAAGCAGGCGGTACTTCTCCTGAAAGAATATCTAATTCACAGCCTTCCCATGTAACATTATGAGAGAAAATTATTAATTCATCTGATAGTATCTCCCAAAGACTTTTAGAAGTCATTTGACATCCACACACTTCACTAAAAGTCAGCAGCTTCAGAACTGAACTTGTAATGCAGAGAATCCAGTGCCTGGAAATAAAGGATTTTATGTTAAAGACTAGTTATTTTTATACTTTTTTTTTTTCCACTAGAGCCTCCCTTGGGGCCTGGGCTGCGGTGCTATCATTAATGGAATCCACCAGCTCAGGCTTTGAATGCTAAAAGGGATAGCTTTCTTTGAACTTGACCAATGGTTCCCACTCTCTTTACCTTTGAAGTGCACCACTAGATAAGATCATGCTTTATTGTGACAGGCAAGAGAGAGAGAGAGAGAGACAGACAGACAGAGAGACGCCAACTTGAATGTCTTTAAATGAAGTGACTAATTGATTTTTGTTTCTGTGGTCCTTGTATATATTTTTTCTGTTCTTTCTGTGGATATAGTAAAGATACACGAGGTTCTCCAAACACTAACCCAGGCACCAACTCTCCGTCATCCACAAAGGCCCGGAACACATCTAAGAATGGGAAGTAAGTGAAAAGTGCTCTTGTACATCTGACATAGCTGTCAAAACGCCACGTGCTGTCCTCATTTTGTCATTCATTCATATTCATTTGACAAAGATTTGCGAATGCCTTCCATGTGCCTCACACTGGGCTGATGACTGGGGAATCGAAATGAGTAACGCATGTAATATTGGGTGCGTGAAGGACTGAAGAAGGAGTAGGGGAGGAAGGGGAAAGTCAGGAGATGACCTTGGAAAGAGAGCTTAGGGCTGACTGTGAAGGGCAGTGCGAGATCTGGACTCTGAGTTCCAAAAATTAAAGAAGCAGCAGACACCGATTTATCATTATATGATTTGCCAAATCCGTGAAAATCTGTCTTAGATCTATACTTTGAGGTTTAGGGTTGAGTTAGAAGAATCTGGAAAGCCATTTCATAAATTTCTTGGTTTAAGTATATTTATATTTACACAGTATGTATGTTCTTTTCCTTAGTAACTAGCATGTACCATGTTCTACATGAAACTGTCTTTTTGGTATTATCAAAACTTGTATTGGCTGAATATTTGTGATATTAGATTTACCCCTTTGGGCTTATTCCAGAAGACAACACTGGCTGATCTCTCCCTTTGGATTCAGCAGATCATGGAAATCTGAGGCAGTGTGACTCCATGCAGATGACGTACCTCTCCAATAAGGCACTTCTCCTTTAAACTGGCCTGCAGCCTTTTGGTGAATGATGCAGGTTCTCTATAAGCTGGCTCTTTCTTGAGGGTGTGGGACATTGTGACAGGCAGAAGCCTAGAAAGGGCACCCAGCCTGTATCTAGGGGAAGATGAAAGATACCTTCATCATGCTAAAAGCTCTAATCCTGCAAAAAGATATGTTACTACAAGAGCACAGCTTTGCAATGAAAGGTGAATTTGTAATGGTCATATATTTTATGTATGCAGCATTGGACTGTAAATGCTGCACTTTGAATATGATCTTATATTCAATTCCCAAAGTGAAAGATCTATTGGCTGCCTTTTTCCTTCTTCTTCTCATCCTGAATAGCATTTCAGGTTTGCATATAAAGTTGAATGTAGACTATCTTGGAAAAGATAAAAAGCGGTGGTGAAGACATAAGACTAAATCTCTGAGCAGTTAGAACTCATTTCAGTTATTTATTGCTGAGCACCACAATCAAAACGCTGTATGAATTATGAAGTAAGGGAATTGATGTACACATTCCCAAGCAGCTGAATGTTTCCAAATTAGTCCCAATTCATCGTTAACATGCACTCTCAGTTAACAAAGAAAGCACTGGGGAATCGCTTTTAACTCCATGTCTGCAAAAGTGGCAGTCCCTATCTGGGCACCTTGTATGTACCTGTCACACTGACAACTGCAGGGCACAATCTCCGTTTATTAGACCCTCATGTATAACTATGGATGTTTGTGATTTGCCTTTGCATTTCAAAAGGGGCATTGTTTTGTTTCTTTCACCTTTTGGGTGAAGAATCTCAGTATGAGCCATGAGACGAGCAGTTGGTAGAATTTGAGTTAAGATGACATAGAGAGGGCCGGCCCGGTGGCGCACTGGATAGTGCGCCGCTTGGGAAGCGCGGCGGCGCTCCCGCCCGAGGGTTCGGATCACACGCACCCAAAAAAAGCTAGTAGGGAAACTTGCCAGAATTTGAACCCAGATCTGCCAAAACTCCAAAGTCAGACCATAATTGTGTCTCCCAGTGTGTAAATATCTATCAAATACTTTGTGCACATGTGTGAACATGCCAAACTTTGAATGATTTAAGTATAACCTGTATTTTAATACTTAGGACAGCATCATAAAATTAATTTCTAAATGAATATTGAAATTTATCCAGTTTCTATGTTTAAGATGACATAGAGAATGCATACCTAATACTATACCCAGGTTGTTAACAGTAAGAGCGTGGAATAAATACATGCTTAACTAGATAAGCATGGTCTATATTACACTTGCTATATTTAGATGCATCCCAAGCTTCTGCCATGGTGAAGGCCTCCCTCTTTGCACATTCTGAGCTAGGTGTCCCGTTTTTTGCCATATGTAGTGAGTCACAGATTGAGCTCGTTCTTCTTAATTCTTCATTTTTTTTTGTTGCTTATTAGTGAAAAATAAAAGTGTCCTCCAGTATCCTCTTCATGGACATGTGTGCCAGCTTCCCTTCTCTGTATCCCTCCTCGTACTTATCTCCCATCAGTTTTCAGCAGGTGCTGTTGTTGTTGTTATTTCTGTTACTGCACATTTTCTTCTTCTTAGGATATCTTTGTCACCAGGAGCAGTACTGACCTTCCACGGATATGGTGAGACTACTAGGGGCATTTTTCACACTTTGTAGAGCAGTGTCTATCAGTGTTTGGGCACTGTGCTATATAGCTCAGAGAGGGTTGTCCTTTACAGTTCCTGCTGCGTTGTCTATGCATTTCCCTGGTTTTGGTGTGCATGGTGATGGGGGGAGAAATAGGTAGATTTCTGCACCCCACCGCTTTTCTCCATAGTGTATTTCCACAACAGTAGGATATGAAGCAGTTTGTAAGTGTTTCTCTATGTTATTTTAAGGCCAGATATGGCTGGGAAATAGAAGGAGTGTTCTTTTCCTCTTTGAAAATAAATTGGATCTCTTCTTTTTTGACAAAACAAAAAATGCAGAAGTCCAGCTGCATCAAATATGCATCATGGCTAAAAGTAATAACAACTCATATGGGTTGAATGAGTGCCATGGGCCAACCTGTGTACTGAGCTCTTGATACATTTTGTCTCATTAATCCTCACCCACTAAAAGCTCATGATGCAGGCACTATAATTATTTCTATTTTACACATGAGGATATTGAAGCTCAGAGAGAGTAATGGTGTGTCCACTTGTGGCCTCCAAATGAACAATTTTGGTAAAAACCTTCTTTAGCACCAATAATAGTAATAATAATAACAACTAAAATATATCAGGCATCTACTTTGTGCCATTGTGCTAGACCCTGGAGCCGCATAGATAAATATAAGATATAAGAGGTGCCCTCAAGGAGCTCACCGTCTTAGTAGAGGGAACAGAGGATGATGACGTAATGTTTAAATGCTACAAGTAGGTAATCACAGGGTGCTGTTGGAGCCAAAATAGTCACCCCTAACCAATGCCAGGCCTGGGGTGGGGAAGAGGTCATGTGAGGACATCAGTGAAGGCTCCTGAGAAGTGATCCCTTGAAGCTTTAATTTTATCCATTTACCCCTCACGTAGCAAGGCTAGGTCGGAGGAGAAAAATGCAAGTCGGTCACCCAGGTGGGCATAATCCTCTGTATATTAGTCAGAACAAGTTGGAGTTGTGGATTTGGTCAAAGCTAAAATGGAATGGCCAATTGTGCCTTTTTCTAACTTTCAATCCATTTGGAACCTGCTGAGATTCAATGTAGCATATCAAGCAGTTTAGGAAACCTACAGCCTGAAAGTTGTGTCAGTTCTGCTTGCTGTGTTTCATTGCCTGGATCTGAAGCTGAGTAGCTAGCCCTCTGTTTCAGGGAGGAACAGATGGAATGGGATATGTCTGAGCAGCAGAGCCAGACTACCCTGGCAATGACTTTCAGGGCAGTGCAGGCAGTTCCTTCTATGCCGACAGTGAGCCAAATTGACAAGACAGAAAAAAAAGAAATCAGTGCACAGCCGTGTACCACTGAGATCAGGAAGCATGGGTTTTGCAGAGGTTGACCCACAAGCAGCCAGGCCAGGCCACTGCATTTAGACTCACATATGGTTCTCTTTGCTAATGTGGACCTGTTATTCTGGCCAACACAGCAGGCCACAGTCAATCCATTTGCTGACCCATTGGATTGTTCCCAGAATGCACTTAAACTGTCAAGGCTGAGCATGCGTAGTAACCACAAAGAGCCTTTGTAACTTTCATTTTGTATTAGAACATTTCCATACTTTACATGAGGCACATTCTTTTGCTGAACAAATAAGGACTCTAAGACTCAAGAAGGGTAAATAACCTTTCCAGAGTTACACACTCAGTCAGTAGCAGAGGGCAGCCTAGAATCCTGGTCTTCTGATACTTGTCCAGTGCTGTTTCCACTGCAATGTATGCACAGGTCTTCTCCCAGAGAGCGAGATACTTCAGCTAATCACACCAAAAGGAGGTCAGGAGCCTGGTCTCAGGATTAGTAGCTGCGTGCTCTCTTCTCCGTACACCACAATGCTTCTGTGGGTGAGCTCTGCCAGCCACTGTGAAAATAGAGACTTTTGGGAGAAATTAGAATCATCCCACTTTGGAAAAAAATGTAGCAGTAGTGATGATGAAAGGAAAAAGCATACACTTCTCAAACGTTTCACTTTTTCTCTAAAATAGCATCATTCTGGTTGTGTTTGGACAGTCACCCTTTCTCAACATCATTGTTGAGCTAAAGCCTTTAATGCACCCCTTCATCAACAAAGCAATAAGAAGACTCATAGATCACTACAGCTATTCTCCCTCAAACCAGCCAACAAACCAGGCTGAGGATATTTTACACACACACACACACACACACACACACACACACACACACACATTCAGAGGCATCCATTTAAACATAGATTGCAGGCAGTTGAGGTGAGGATGGAAACTGATCACTCCTCTCAGCCTGAGATGTTTTTCACATAGGCTCGAGCTAGAGAATTACAAGAACCAAATCCAATTTTCAAATACTAGTGAAAGCCATGAATATTACAGGGCAGAGCACCCAAGCCCAGTGCCTGATACATGATATCATAACGTTGAATTAGGTGCTGTAAGTTATGGCTTAAGCGAATTAAGCCAGGTGAAGGAAGGATACTAAATTGTGTGAAAAGGTATACAGAAGGAAAGTCAGACCTGGTTCACTTCACAAATCTTCCTGGGGCTGGCCCTGGTGGCTGATGCCATAGGAAGACTGACTAACCTGTCTTTGCCAGAAGTGTCTCATCGTGAAAGACCTGTTTATCTATTCATCAGTGTCTAGATGAGAGTAGTCAGGAACACATAGCTTCATAA